AATGAAGCCTCTGGGCAGAGAGAACGGCACGTTCAAAGGCCCTGGGGTGGGGACATGCCTGGCTTGGACAAGAAGCAGCAAAGGTGCTGTGTGACCAGAGTCAAGTGGGGAAGGGCGGGGAGTGGAGGTGATAAGGTCAGAAGGGGATGACAGAAGGCATAGGGTCTTCTAGGGCTTTTGGAGGGCTTGGGAGTTTTATTTGGCATGAGGTGGGAGCCCTGGAGGGCTTTTCTGTGGAGGAAGACAAACTTCTGTCTTTAACAGGATCCTTCTGCCTGCTTGATAGAAGGAGCTGAGTGTGGAAGCAGGGAAACCAGTTAGGCTGTCATAATCCAGACAGGGTTACCCTACCACATAACCCTAAATACTTACTTGTAAAGTGAGTGAAGGAAGACATGGCTCACGGTCTGGCTCTCTGGACCATGTGGGAGGGTCCCCAGGGTCTGGGACAGGGGCTCTGGGGATCGCCACATCCCACAGTTTCCTTTATTCTCACCTCCTGCCGATCAGCTCCTCCTCCTGCTTCTGGCCACTTTTTCCTCTCCCGCTCCCTGAGCTATCTGATTGCTCCCGAAATCTTCTCAGCCACTCTTGTTGAGTTTGGGGATCCTCAGGGGAAAACAGCCATGTGGGTCTCCCCAGACTGGCCAGTGTGAGGTCCCAGGCGTTTCCCCAAAGCTATGATGCCGAGACCTGCTCCTCTCTGCAAACCAGATAAATCCAGAAGCAAGAGTGATATTTCTGAACACTCAGGGCATTCGGCTTTTCCAGTGATGTCTTCTTGGGCTGATGTGGCTTTGCCAAGGTCTGTGAGAAAGACACAGAATGAAAAGCAGGAAGGGAATCCAGCTGGTGGAAATAATCAGAGGGGTCCGAGGAATGGACCAAGTGTCACTCAGCTGGTGTTGCACAGATTCACCAGATATGCTCTCACTTCAGCCTCTCTGAATCTTTACTAAGAAGGAGAAAAATGGAGGCAGAATCCCTTGTGTCATTTTAATTGATTTCTTCAGCATCCAGAGAGAGGCTGGCACCAGGCCAGGGGAAGTGGGAGCTGGGGGAATTCATCAAAAATTGACCTACTGATGACGTGAGCTGATGAAGTAATTAGCTCCTGTTATTCTCTGATCTCTGGTCGTGGAGTTTTGACTCCCATCCAGAGGGTCAGCATCCTGGCTGGAAGGCTAGAGCTGCCCAGGAGCGGAGGGGAAGAGCCTCAGAGTCCCAGGAAGAGTCCAGTCGACCGTATCCCCCAGCTCCACCCACCAGGGCGGAAACGGGACCCGGGCCCCCTGTTTCTCCGTATCACAGGCCCAGAGCCAAAAAGACCCTCCAAGGGCACCTGGCCTCCTGCTGCTTCAGAGGCAAATGGGGAAACTGAGGTTGGGAGACCTTTAGAAAGTTACCTAGAAATCTGCTTCCAGGAGGTTCTCGTTGCGCTGCTGACTCCAGCCAGACTGGGCTTAAATCCCATTTCTGCCCCTTGTTTGGCCATATGATCGTGGGAGAGTGCTTTTATTATAATTCTCTGTGCCTCAGCCTCTTCATCCATAAAATGGGTATAATATCGATGGGCAGATATGCTTATTAAATAAGTTGATATGTGTGTAAAGTGAGAGTTGCTGTTTGTAGGGCGCCCCTTAGAAATTCTCTCGCTGCTATTTTATCACTCGATGTCCATCTGAAGGAACATAAATGTGCTTTTTTTTTATTTAACTGCAGTTGATTTATAATATTGTGCTAGTTTCAGGTGTACGGCTTCAGATTCTTTTCCACTATAGGTTGTAACAAGATACTGAATATAGTTCCCTGTTCTATAGAGCAAACCCATGGTTATTTCATGTATAGTGGTGTGTACCTGTTAATTCCACACTCCTAATGTGTCCCTCACCCCTCCCATTTCTGCTTGGGTAACCATAAGTTTGTTTGCTATGTCAGTGAGTCGGCTTCTGTTTCGTAAATAAGGTCATCTGTATCCGTTTTTTAGATTCCACATTAAATGATACCAAATGATAATTATCTTTCTCTGACTTGCTTCACTTAGTATGATGATCTTTAGGTTCATCCATGTTGCCTGCAAGTGGCATTACTTCCTTCTTTTTGTGACTGAGTAGTATTGCACTGTATAATATATCCCACATTTTTATCCATTCGTCTGTCGATGGACATTTAGGCTGTCCCCATGTCTTGGCTATTGTGAACAGTGCTGCTATGAACGTAGAATGCATGTATCTTTTTTAATTATAGTTTTATCCAAGTGTATGTCCAGGAGCGGGATTTCTTGATCACGTGGTAACTCTTTTTTAAAATTTTAAGTAACTTCCATACTGTTTCCCACAGTGGCTGCAGCAATTTACATCCCCACCAACAGTGCAGGAGGGGTCTCTCTTTTCCACGCCCTCTCCAGCATTTATTTTTTGTAGATTTTTGATGATAGCCATTCTGAAAAGTATGAAGTGATACCTCATTGTGGTTTTGATTTGCATTTATCTAATCATTAGCGACACAAAGCACCTTTTCATGTGCCTCTTGGCCATCTGTATGTCTTCTTTGGAGAAATGTCTATTTAGGTCTTGTTCCCATTTTGTGATTGGGTTGTTTGCTTTTGTTGTTGTTCAGTCATCAAGTCATGTCTGACTCTTTGCAATCCCATGGACTGCAGCACACCAGGCTTCCCTGTCCTTTTTTCCCTGTTTGCTTTATGAATGTCCATTCTAGTGGGCCAACTGGTGTGCCAGTCAAGAGCACATTTCAAGTGCAAAGCACCAAGCAGTCTTCTTTGTTTCCTGAAGGGGGGTGGGACATGGACTGATAACATGATTCGAAGACCCCCTCCCATGATCTGGGGTAATTCAAGGACCACTAGAATCTTCAGCATGTCTCCTTTGAACCCTCTCAAGCCTCCCATTACCTCCAGTGGAAAGTCTCCTGATGGTGCTAAAGTGCTTTGTTGTCTTTCAACACCTGCTTATTTCCTGCAAATAGAGAGACAGTGCAGATGTGGGAGCCGCCAGCTCAGGGCTCAGCTTAGAGCATTAAATGTGAACTTGAAGCTGTTAGATGGGGCAGTGCGGTTTCTGCTCTTTGACTTTGTGTGGTTAGTTTTACAGGGAAAGGACACGGCTGTTTTATTTATACTTGGGTAGAAAGTTTTCTTTTTCAAAATACTGTGTTTATGCCTTCTTTTTTTTTTAAAGGATTCTTTTGATGTGCACCATTTTTAAAGTCTTTACTGAATTTGTTACAATATTGCTTTTGTTTTATGTTTTGGCCGGGAGGCATGTGGGATCTTAACTCGGGGACCAGGGCTTGAACCTGCAGCCCCTGCATTGGAAGGCAAAGTCTTATCTAAGTGACAGGAAAAAGCCATGGGTCTGAGAACAATTGGGAGGACGGGGGAGAGGTGGGCAGGGGCTGGATCACGCCCCCCCACCCCGTAAGGCTTGCTGGGAGTTTGCATTTTGTACCCTGAGCCCTGAGAAGCCAGAGGAGGGTCTGAACGGGTGAGTGACAGGGCTGGGACTAAGGTGAGCTGATCACTTTGCACCTGGCCACCTGGAGGGAGAGCCCCTTCAGACCTGGGCCCTGAGAACCTCCCTCGTCTCGCCTTACCCAGGCCTTGTGAGTTGCGTGTTTGGATCTGAATTTTAGGAAGACCCTGCTGGCTCCTCCAAGAGGGTGGAGGTGGGAACAGTGGGTTGGGGAGAAAGTGGGATTCCCCGTAGGCAAATGGTGCCATCCCCAGGTGGGGTCACACAGGCCACACACCCCCCGCTGTGGACCCTGGGGTCTTTGATGAGTTCCCTGAGCCATGGCTTGGGGCGAGGCAGGGTTCCCCGCAACAGCAGGGGCAGACGGAGTCCTTCAAGGTCGTGGGGACGGTGACTCAGGTCGACAAGCTTGCTTTCCTCCCAACACCTCTGCTTACTCACTCTTTCTCTCGTTTTAAATAGATAAGACCAAAACGTCTATATCTGGACAGGAGTTGAAGGCTCATTTCCTCAAGAATTAAAAAATGACTGCAGAGAGCAAAGAGCAGAGCGAGATCTGAGACCCGCCTGAGTCCAGTTTAGCCAGCCCGCCTTCCTTCCCCCGCCTTTTGCTGGCGACCCCATCCGACCCGCAGTCAAGGGGCTGACCAGGGTCACAGGGGACTGTGACACTTCTCCTCCCTCAGCTGCCGAGCTCCCAGTTTTCTCTGTTGTCATTTTGTTCTGCAACTTAAAACCAATATAAACATCTTACCCCATCACAGGACCTGTCGACAGGCGACCTTTGTGAACACCTGCCCCCTTGGGTTGAGTTCTTCAACAGTCATGTCTCCCCGTTTTATTCATGGGGAAACTGAGGTTCCTCACTGGCTTATTGATGGGGAGACCCGGCTGGTGAGTGATGGAGCCGAGACTAAAATACAGAGTCGCCTAGCCTACGGCATCAGCCCGGCTCGCCCAGACCCCTCCCCGAATCACACGCTACCTGAGAGCTGGGGGTGCGTCCGCTCATCTCTGCATCCTCCGTGGTGCTGGCAGAGAAGAGGTGACCAGAAATGTCTGCTCTCCCAGACTTTTTCCTTTCCTTTCACTGCGGGGTGATTTGTCTTGCGTTGGTTGGAGGGTTCGGAGGCAGGCTGACTACCTGATTTGGGACCTGGGCTCACACAGACACATCCAGAGGATGGCTGAGTCCAGGGGAGGAATGCTGTCTGCAGAAGTGGTCTTCTGGAGGCGTTCCTGCCAGCCTCTTCCCTAAGCCAGTTGCAAATAACTTTTCTTGCAACTTTAACCAAATTGGGTTTTTGCTCCGCTCTAGCTATCGCTGATCAAAGAAGCTCTCACTGCCCCTGCCAGAAGCCATCAAAGCAATCATGATGCAACTTGTGGCCTAATGCGCTTCCTCTTCCTCTAGGTCCGTGAGTAGAGAGGGAAGAGAAACAAATCCACGGAGCACAGCTCCAGACTCCTGCGTCCCGCCAGAAGCAAGGGGATCCGCAGAAACGTGACATGGCCCCCGCCGGCGTCCTACTTTGCTTGCTCTCTGCAGCGGTCTTCTCTCTACTGGACGGAAGCGCGGCCTTCCTGTCCCACCACCGCCTGAAAGGCAGGTTTCAGAGGGATCGCAGAAACATTCGTCCCAACATCATTCTGGTGCTGACGGACGACCAGGACGTGGAGCTCGGTAAGCGCCCAGCTACTGGCAGGCCGCATCCCCCAGGCTCACCGTGCTGGGTCTCAGGCCCTGATGCAGATGCTCGGGTTGACCCTGCAGAGTTCATGTCTAATGGACTGAACCGAGTCCCGGGGTTGGCCCCACACACGGGGATGCACAGCTGGGTCCTCAAGGTTAGGGGTCTTCCACCTTTTCCTAATGCAGACCCATTCCTAGATTCCTCCGAAGTCCTAAGGAAAAGAGATGTTATGACCAGTTGACTTGCTGTCCAATTTCTACTGAGAACCTACTACGCTCCAGGCCATATTCTAGGACCTGGAACTTCAGGAGCCAGTCAGGCAGGCAGTCTCTAGTCTCATGGAATGTGGGAGACAGATACTCAAGGTCATTGCTAGTTCATATGGAAGACCATTTCAAGAAGGGAGAAATGCTCTGGGGTAACTGTAGAGGATTCTGGCTTGCAGTGATGGTCGGAGCGACTTTGGATGAGTAATCAAGGAGGGCCTCTCAGAGGAGGTGATATTTGAGCTGATACCAAACAAAAGGGGGGAGCCAGCCTGGGCAGTATGTGTGTGTATTTCATGTGTGTGTGCACATACACCTGCAAATGTGGACCCCTGTTAAACCCATCTTAACAGGGGGCACCAGTCTTAACCCAAGGAAGGGTGGGCTTCCTTGGTGGTATCTCGGGAAAGGGAGGGTGGCCACTACTGCTAGTGAGCCGACTCAGTTTACAGGGATGGTGGCTTAGGAGGGTAAGGGTGGTCGCCTCTCATCCTGAACTGTTTCCCCTCTGGTCCTGTGGGCTCCAGGTAGAGCAAGTGAGGAGAAGGGCCTTGCCGAGATGGGGCTCAGTTACAGCAGGATGCTCTCCCTGATCCCTCACACAGCACCCCCCCCACCCCCCGTCGTGTCCTTGCTTCACTGTGGAAACCCTCCTGGATTCCTCCCTCTCCCTTCTAAACGAGCCCTGGGCTCCTCCACCCAGCTGGACACCTTCATCTTCATGAGGCATCTCTCACCACATTTTCACTCACTTGAGAAGTTTCCCTACATGAGGCCACCAGGGGTGAGGCCCCCAGAGTCAATCAGCTGGACCTTCTGCTCCCTGGGGTCAAATTCCACTTACACTTCCAGCTCACCTTTGATGGTGTCTCTCAGTGTCAGCCCTGTTCTCCTTTACTTGTGTCTTCTCCCCCTTCAAATTCGATGATTTTACCGCTTCCATTTCTCCACGTTAAACCCCGCACAACACTACCCTTGAGATCTATCAGGTGAGGCGCAAGTGCGAATCACATACATAATTCTAAAGTTCCTAGTGGCTACACTTTAAAAAAAAAAAGAAGCTGGGGAAATTAATTTTTAAAAGACCCAGTATATCTAATCTATTGTCATCTTAACATGTAATCAATATAAAAACATCATTAATGGCATAGTTTATATTTTTTATATTGCTTTTTAAATCTGGCATATACACTTAGAAGACAGCTCAGAACCAGCCCCCTTTCCTGAAGTTCAGTAGCCTTGTGTGTCTACAGTCCTAGACAGCATACAAGCCCCTGTGCATTTTCCTTCTACTATAAATCAGACTTCCCCCTCTTGCTAACAGTGATGACGATAGACGTGGTAGACCATCCTACCTTGTACTGTGAACATCTGGGGCAAAGCCTTCCAAGCACAGGGTACAGCCTGTGCAAAGGCCCTGAGGCAGAGCCAAGGAGACAGATGTGGCCAGAGCCTGGGAAAGGTCATAAAATGACCCAGGAGAGAAGGAAGGGAACCAGATTGTGGAGGCTCCCGTGGGTTGTGGTGAGGAGTGCCACAGTTGACCAGGTGAGGGGTAGGCTTTTAGCTTCTGTCCCCTATCAAAGGAAAACTGAATATTGTTGGTGGCAACAAATTTAAAGGTTGACCAGAAAAGCCTTTGTAGTCAAACATAAGATTGTGGTGATGATCCAAATGAAAACCTACACCCTTTTTGAAATCAGTCTTTAAAGCACCAAGAAAAGGTGATTTATATGCATCCAAGCCACTCCCTTTTAATGATTTGTATTAATGATCACAAGTATAGATGTTTCTCAGGGAGTTGATTGGTGCAAAAACAATTTGCAGCCAGAAGCAATCATGGCCTAGGGCTTTTATTGACAGTTTGATGCATAGGATACCTGTTTCTCAAACCAGTCAATCCTAAAGGAAATTAACCCTGAATATTCATTGGAAGGACTGATGCTGAAGCTCCACTACTTTGGCCACCTGATGCAAAGAGCTGACTCACTGGAAAAGACCCAGATGTTTGGAAAGATCAAAGGCAAAAGGAGAAGGGGGCAGCAGAGGATGAGATGGTTAGATAGCATCACTGACTCAATAGACATGAATCTGAGCAAACTCGGGGAGATAGTGGAGGACAGAGGAGCCTGGCATGCTGTAGTCCACGGGGTCTCAAAGAGTTGGGCACAACTTAGTGACTGAACAACTCCCCAGCAGCATTTAGAATGAGCCAAATTTGATAACCATGGGGAGCCTATAGAATGTGGCCATGGGACCGTGAGTTTTGTTTCTGGCAGAATTCTGCAAAGAGTGCTCACAGGCAGCACCTGACCTCCGCGCACCTTGGTCATGTCTCGTGGGGTCCCTCAGGCTGTTTCCATCATAGTTATGCCTGAGAATTCAAGACTCCCTGGACGCTTATTCATGCATTCAATAGATATTGATCAAGTGCACTGTGCCGGGAGCAGAGGGGCTGGGGGGGGGGGGATCCCTCCAGCTGGAGAGAACAGGAAAGGCAAAAACAGAAATGAGCTTGGTGGGTCAGGACAGAAAGAAGGCCTGTGAGCTGGAGCGGTGAGAGCCGGGGTGTATGGAGGGAGATGAGGCCAGGTTCTGGGGGACCTTGTCATCATGGCAATGATTCTGAGTTTTATTCATAGTGGAATGGACATCAGGGAGGGCTGTGACCTGACTTATGTTCCAATAGGATCCCTCTGGCTGTTACGTTGAAATTAGGTGCCAGTAGAAGGACAGGGCCATAACAGGGCAGGCGAAGATGGGAGCTGGGACCAGGGCAGGAACAGTGAATCCTGAAGACGTGCGTGAATGGGTGGATGGCTGGGGGACTGAGGACAAAAGGAGATCCTAGATTTTTGACCTGAATCAAGGCTGATGATTGACTGTCCACTCTTAGGAGCGCCAAATTTTTGCTGCAATTGCATGATCTAACGAAGTCTCATGTCAGAATCTGATTGTAGGTTTGCACCTGTGACTCTCGAACAAAGCATATGCAGATATAAGGAAGGGAGCTTCGGGCCTGATGAGGACGTGGAGAGAGGAAAGCAGAGAAAACCAGGGCAAACTTAAAATGCCTAGATCCCTCCTTTTCATTTGAATGCAGAGACTGAAGCCTGGAGAAACTAAGTCACTAGTCCAAGGCCACACAGCTAAGATGTGGCCAAATACAATTTGGACCCGGAGCCTGTGGTCTTAACCACAGCTCGACTTAACAGGTCCCTTGGGATGGCTATTGAGTTGTTTCTAGATTGGGAGTGTGTTTGTTAGTAGCTTTCACTGTTACCAATACTGTTGTCAAAGAAAAATATTTTTTAAAATATTTGCTTATTTATTTGGCCGTGTCAGGTCTTAGTCATGGCACATGGGATTTTTGTGGTTCCCCATGGACTTCTCTCTAGTCGGGGCATGCAGGCTCTAGAGCATACAGGCTCAGTAGTTGTGGCACACAGGCTTAGTTGCCCCCCAACATGTGGGATCTGAGTTCCCTGACCAGGAATTGAGCCCACATCCCCTGCACTGGAAGCCGGATTCTTAACCACTGGACCGCCAGCGAAGTCCCCAAGAACGTCTTTATACATGCATCTTTGCATCAGCGAGCGAGGATTTCTGAAAGATAAATCCCAGGAAGTGGATGCAGTGGGTGTGGAGCCCACGTGCTCGGTGACATCTGTCAGTTTCCTCGCTTAGCACCCACTTGCACAGATCGGTCTTCCCTTCCACGAAGGAGCCAGTCCCTCCAGCAGCATTTGGAGGAGACTGGGCTGCTTTCAGGAGGTGAGGGATGATGGCAAGGTGGTGGGGGGGGGGGGGAGGGTGGGCTTTTTATAAACCACCAGACAGACCCAGATCAATAATGCATGCTCCCCAAAAGGCCAGCACATTATCTCACAGTCAGCAACAACTGGCACGCGGAGGGTGGTCCTAAAAAATTTATCATCTGCTATTTTCTGCTCATCCAGGCGGCAGTTCTGACAGTTCTCAGGGCTGGAGCCTTCTCGACTAAGATAATTCCAGGCTTTCTTCCAGTCCCGGGGCGGAGAAGAGCCGTCCATCCTAATTAGGGTCTGGATGAGAGATCTGGTATAGGACAGAGCACAGAAGAAGGGCTCTTCCTGCCTCTGAATTGATTGCAAGGGGGGTGCTGGATCTTTTTTTTTTCTTTTTCTTTCCTTTTTCCCTACATGCATTTGCTGTGCCTCCCTGAGTGGTCACTTGGAAGTGTCCATTGCCAGGGGGCCAGGTTCTAGGACATATTGGTCAGAAAGTGGTCTCCACTATCAATATATTTTGGGGGACAATCCCCCTGTGTTTGGATGACTCTTGGAGATTGGTAGGGTCTTGGCTGCCATCTTCACCAGGAGGGTGGAACAGGGAGAAACACACGGAAGCCAAGGTCTCATTTGCATGGTGTCCTTCAAATAGGCTTTGAAACTGGTGGAATCCGCCTGGGTTTCTGGTTTAATTCAATCCAGACAAACCCTTGGTGAGCCTCCAGGGCTGGGACAGGCTCTGAGACACCAAGATGAGTTGGACACGGTCCTTGCCTGAAGCAAGAGAATATTTGCAACATCCCAGAGCCGTCTGTTCTATTACTTGAACTGGACTTACTTTTTGAAGCTTAAGTGTTATTTGAAAAGGAAGCTTTAATTACGACTGTACATGAAAAAGTGGTATTCACTGCCTGCAGTAAAAGGTCACTGCAAAACCAAGTCTAATAAGAACAG